TATATATATATATTAAATATTTAATGCAGCGTCAAATATATACTTCTATTTGAAAATATTTTTACAAAACAATCACTTATTTTCACCAGTATTTATAGTAATATATTCTTGTGTGCAAAAATACTTTGCAAAACTATTTTATATATATTGATTTAAAGATACTTTCTTTTTTCTTACTCATAATTATATTTAGCTTTTAATCAGCTTCATAATTAAAAACTTTATATAAAATGTAAATGAAAATTTTGTATATTTGGATCTTCATAATCATATTTTTGACACATAAAATCACAAATAGAATTATCTCCCTGTTTCGAGTCATAGATCATTTAAAAAAAGGTTTAACAATAAGATAAAAATTGAATGTGACGTATCAAAGAGGATTGAATGGCAATCGTCTCGTACATATTATACATATACGTTCTCAGATTAATATTTCTTTTTCAGGGGCACTGCGGTGAATATACGGCCCTGAACCTCTGGCCACTAGTCGCCAGTGATATTTTGGTCCAGCTGGGACAGTGGGATGGGACACGAGATATCGTTTGCGGTGTCTCGTATTGCCGACGCGCTCGCACGCTCGCGTGAGCATCCGCGCGAGCAAAGTGATCCGAGGCCCCGAGGTGTTGGAGAATCACGTTGACAGACATATGAGGATTCCAGCGGCGAGATAGGATATACGTGCCGACTGTATGCGTGCGCGACCGAAAACGCGAGAGAATCGCATCAAAATGCGCATCATCTAGTTTCCATTTCCTTCCTCCTTCTTCGCTAAATCGCAACGAATGAATATATGTGTGTGTGATCTAAGGGAGAAATTCTTAATCTTACTAGATAAATTCTCAATTTATTTTAAAAGTTTATTCACACCCTCTTTTATTGTCTTTTATCGTTCAAATCGAAACGAAATATGATAGAGATCTCGTTTTATCTCTGCAAAATCGATATAATTGCATCTAAAGATAATCTGATTTCAATGTCGGCAAATTTCAACGCAAGTAATCTTTAGAAATAAGTATCTCGATTGCATTAATAAGCGTCATTGTTATTTTATACTGTGGATTTATTAATAATGAACAGACACGACTATTTTACGTGGACTTGTTTCTCATAATTGCACGACCGATGACTGCCAACACTTATGATTTAAATCTGTCGTAAATTGCACTTTGTGCCAACACCGAAAGTTACCGCCGTTTCTTCTCTCAATTCCGCCCACTCGCGGAATTTCTTCTAGATCGTTACCACAATATATTACTTCGTATTAAAATATTACAATGTTGATATAATCGCTATAATAACATTAGTCTATATTTCGATAAAAAAATTAAAATTAGAATATGATAACGAAAAATCCAAAATAAATCAAGTTTAAATATATCTAAAACACACATGGGAAAATGAGGTATTAAATATTTTATTCAGAGATATTTATATTTTTTCAGAGAGACATACGCGAAGACTTTACGGAAGCAAAGATACAAAAAAGGAAGGAAACGGACATATCTATCGGCGTGGGTGAAAACTGTCCAAGCAAGCGAAGCACGCGAAGACAGACACTGACCGTGACTGTGCCACGGATGCCTAGAAGAGGTTTACCTTATGTAAATAGAGGGGACGATCTCCTGTCATTGCAACATCGGGCCAAGTCGACCGCAGCGTGTATTTGTCACGTTTATCCAACATTTCCAATATTTTCTCTAATATACTTACATGACGCACGGTAAGTAATTGATTCAAAAGTAATTGATAAAAAGTAATTGATTTTCTATACTTTATATAAGAATCTGCTTGTTATATTTCTCTTACACTTTCTTATATTTCTATATTTTTTTATATGATTTATCATTAATAATATAACTAGAAAGAGAGTGATGATTTTATTTGAAGAAATAAATCATGACATATATGTCGAGAAAAAAATGTGACGACTTATAATTTCTTCATATATAATTTCTTCATTCTACGGTATATATTGTATCTTTATATACTTCATACGAAATATTTCAATTTTTACGTACATCGCGAAATGCGCGCTCGACATTTCGCGGACATAAATAACTACATAAAACACAGGATCGTCAAAATACGGCGAGGATGGCGGCAGTAAAAGTAGAAGAGAGCAGTGGGACAACGAGAGGGACGAGGAAAAGGTTGCAGACGTAAAGCGTAAACAGTCGAGGTGCGATTTGACGCGCACTCGGCCGAGGCCGCGTGTACAAGACGCGCCTTCCGCTTTAAGAATCGCCCCGTGGAAGAGGACGATGGCTGGAATCTGTAAATCTGTCATTGCGGCCGTATTCGTGCGCAGGATATGAACTTCTTGGTCGTCGCACATCACCGCGCCGCGCCACGCCGCGACGCTTCCTCAGATCTGGCCGGTTGACTTCTTCAGCGGCAAGAGTTTTCGATCTTTCAAAAGTAACATGTGGCGAATATAGAGCAACAATTGCGATATCAGATCGAGGTAATATTATTGATATTTATTTATGTGTAATTGGTATCTATTATCTAAAGAGAGAGGAATCTCTGCGTAATAAAAATATATAAAGTTATATATATATATATATATTTTTTTTTAATCTATTATGATTAAACCAAGATTAGGCATATCTTGAAGAAAATCATCATTTATCACATTTTTTCAATTTTATCATATCATATCTTTATAAGCTCTTAAAATTGATATTCTCTCTTAAAGTCTACTTGAAATCTATTAGTTAGTTTCTGGACATTAGTTATGGTTTTGTTGTATGTTTGTTCTTCTGAAGCTTAATACGTGAGGAACTCTTGTTTTTTATTCGCCTATAAGCCGTAAGCTATTAATGCCTTGACATTTTGTGCTAAGAAAAAAACTGATTACAAATTCATGGGAGAATTTGTGATTAAAATTAAGATTGCGAGAATTGTGCGCGATTATTTCGCGTATGTGTATATATATAAAACAACTCAAGATCTTCTTCGAAAATTCAGAGAGCGTTTCGCCATGTTGACGACGTGGAAACTATAAAAGCCCTGCCATAATGTGCACGCACGAATTGTAGGGCCGTGGTAGGTTGCGATGACGGATTCATGATCCGTGGGATATAGCGCCTTCCTCCAGGAGACGTGGATGCGCGCCCGCGTTTCCTCCTTCCTCCTTTTTCCCTCCAT